ACGCCCATTGATACATTAACAGATTCTAGTATCTGGTAAGACAGAACACCAAACAATTAGAAGAGATGAGCTATTTACACATGCAATAATATGGATGAATCCCAGCATCATTTTCTCCAGTGAAATATTTTAAAAGGTACATGCTGTGTGATTTCTTGTACATAAAATTCTTGGAAAGCAAGCTGTAGTGACTTGCCTGCGAAGGCTTGCAGAAGCACAGCAGGAAGCGTTCATGGGCCCTGGATAAGCTGGTTCTCATGGTTTTGGTGATGTATTTACAATGTGTCAATTTATTACATTGTAAATCTGTGCCAATTGTTGTATGTCTATTTCTTTACAGAGCTGTTAAGCACAGTTAAAACAAAGACTTGGTTCCTTAATAAATATTATTTGTTACACCAGCATTCTTCTTCTTCTTTTTAAGATTTATTTATTCTTGGGCCCAGCGGTATGGCCTAGCGGCTAAAGTCCTCGCCTTGGACACACAGGGATCACATATGGGTGCCGGTTCTAATCCCGGCAGCTCCACTTCCCGTCCAGCTCCCTGCTTGTGGCCTGGGAAAGCAGTTGAGGATGGCCCAAAGCTTTGGGACCCTGCACCCATGTGGGATACCCGGTAGAAGTTCCTGGATCCTGGCTTTGGATCGGCATAGCATCGGCCGTTGCACTCACTTGGGGAGTGAGTCATCGGACGGAAGATTGTCCTCTCTGTCTCTCCTCCTCTCAGTATATCTGACTCTGTATATCAGAACAGAAAATCAGATATACAGAGAGGAGGAGAGACAGAGAGGAAGGTCCTTTGTTCAATGGTTCACTCCCCAAGCTCCCTCACTGGAGCTACGCCAGTCTGAAGCCAGGAGCCAGAGGCCTCTTCTAGGTCTCCAACACTGGTGCAGGGTCCCAAGGCTTTGGGCCATCCTCGACTGCTTTCCCAGGCCACAAGCAGGGACCTGGATGGGAAACAGGGCGGCCATGACTAGAACCAGCACTCATATGGAATCCCAGCACATTTAAGACGAGGACTTTAGCCGCTAGGCTATTGCACTGGGCCTTGCATTCTTTCCCCTCTTCTTCTTTTTAAATTTTAGTTATTTGTTTTAAAGGCAGAATTACAAAGAGAAGAGGCAGGCATATTCCATCAGAGGCTTCACTCTTCTACAGGGTACCAACAGCCAGGACTGGACCAGGCCAAACCCAGGAGCCAGAAACTTCATTCAGCTGTCTCATGTGGGTGAGGAGACCCAAGCACTTGGGCCGTCTTGGGCTGCTGCCTGAGACACATTAGCAAGAAGGTGGTCTTGGCTGAGCAGCTGGGACTTGAACCAGCACCCAAAGGGGATGCTGGCATTGCCATAAGGTGATGGCTTTATCTACCGTGCCACATGATTTATTTTATTTTTATTGCAAAGTCAGATATAGAGAGGAGGAGAGACAGAGGGGAAGATCTTCCATCTGGATGATTCACTCCCCAAGTGACTGCAACAGCCAGTGCTGCGCCAATCCAAAGCCAGGAGCCAGGAACTTCCTCCAGGTCTCCCACACAGGTGCAGGGTCCCAAGGATTTGGGATGTCCTCGACTGCTTTCCCAGGCCACAAGCAGGGAGCTGGATGGGAAGTGGGGCAGCCAGGATTAGAACTTGTGCCCCATATGGGATCCCGGCACGTTCAAGGCAAGGACTTTAACTGCCAGGCTACCGCACCAGGCCCAACATGATCATTTTTTTTAAACTTTTGTTATTTTAATATGTATGCAATCTATATCACTGTGGCTTTAGCTTGCATGTCCCTAATGATAAATGATGTTGAACACCTTTTCATGTCTTTAATTTGTGTATTATATCCTGTTGGGGGAAACCTCTATTTAGAGTTGCTGCTCATTTTTAAATGCGATTACTTATTTGCTTTCACTGATTTTGATATAAACCCCTCCAATCCCAAATACATGCAACAATTAGTCATGATTTGTGGTAAACTCTGCAAGAACACAAGCAAGAAGCTGTGAATACTATCGCTTCAAGGGAGGAAAAACCAGAGGGAAAGGAAAATGTAAGTGGCCATGGCTGATTGTACATTTTATACACTTTTCTAATTTTCTGATTTTGTAATATGTTTACCTGTTTAGAAAAATAAGCAGCACTTATTAAATTCATAACTTATTTCCTGGTTTTATGCCAAGATTATCAGCACCAGTAAGTCTGGGATGGCATGAGCCTGCTAGTGATGTTACTATGTGACAGGTTTTAGTGTGTAACATTGTAGCTCATTTCCGTTTTTGGCAATCATGTACCTCTTTGTCCCCATCTCGGTTCTTTTCATCATTTTATTTAATTCAGTTTTTGACCAAAGAGTTTGGAATTCTAGAATTATAAAGCATATTTTTTTTCTTTACTTTTAAAGCTTTCTATATCATGCTTGTAAATCAGAGAGTAAGCAAAGGAGCTGGGGAGCGAAGAAAGGATTACCAAGGCAAGACTGCTAAGCTCTAAAAGGTCAAGAATTTCAAGTTGACCACGTGTTTGGCAAAGGACACCACTGATGACCGTCATGAGTTGGGATATTCTGATGTTCTAAGAAGAAAACTCACATTGTAAGTGAACTCACATGTAGGTCAGCCTAGTGGTTCAAAATGTAGTCTCAGCCCAGCCACACTAACCTGTGTGAGTACACATTCATGAGCACAAACCCTGACTCTACCAGAAACTGAGGATGCATTAGCCCAGCCTACACGAACATGTGGAAGATTGACAGCGAGAATAGCTATGAACAAAAGCAGCAGGAGCACAGAGCAAAAAGGCTTCTAGAGGAAATAGGAACTGATATGAGCTCTAAATATGTAAGTTCAAACATCAGAGAATGAATGAACTTGTCAATGTAAATGCAAACCATTTCTTCTATATTCCACCTAATAATACCATAACATTGCTTCTTTTTTCCCCATTTATGGCTCTTTTTTTTTCTTTTCCTCTTAGTGCTAATAGAATTCCAGCCTTAGCCCTGAAATTGTAAGACTTTCTAATTAGCAATAGAGAGATTTCAACAAAATTGCAAAGGCTCCTTTCTCCTTTACTTTTAAAATGCAAATATTACTCTGCAATGCAAAACAGTCCTTGCAAATGTTATTTCTAACAAAGAACTCTCAAACTTAGATATTGTTTTATCCTAAAAATGTCTTTAATTGGTTGTCTTACATAACATGTACATGGAAATACATAACATGTACATGGAAATCTTGGATTTTCTAAAAGTCCATTTTAAGCACTTGTCATCTTCCGCAAAAAAAAAAGAAGAGAAAATGGAATAAAACCTGATTCAGCTAAATTTCTGAACAGATACCAACTCCAGCAAAGGCTTAGGTTGCATTGTACGTACCCAAGTGTTGCACTGCTGGGAGAGAAGCAGCTAATAGCTTTTAGGCATCCTGGGCCTGGTTAATGCCAAGTTTGTGTTCACTATACATGTGCCAGGATAGTCGCCTATTATTATCTTTTTGTTTGTTTAAGATATGTGGTTGGTGGTGGAGACACCAGGCATGCCAGCAGATGGGGTCTGGGAGCCTGTGAGTGCGCACAGGCTGTGAGGCAGGCACATCCCCCAGCTGACACAGCACACTGCCGGAGGACTGGGCATGGGGGCGCTGTGGGCTGCTTAGGAGACAGTCTGCGGGGAGGACTGCTGAGGGAGAATGTGACAGGTGACAGGGGACTTCCATCAACATGGTTACTGTACTTGCAAGTAAATGAGGAGGCCAAGATTGGGTGAATTAGTGGAGGGTAAAAAGACCTTTTGGGGACAAACCAATACAGCCGCCCACGTGGGAGACTTGGGCTGGGGTTACTGGTATCAACCATCACCTACTGGTGCATACATAAGTCATGGCTGGAAGCCTGCCTGGCAGGGCTCAACCATACTACCCATTGCTGAGTATTAGGGCAGAGGGAAGATATGTTAGGCTGGGCCATGGCACTAACCAGCTCATGAGAGAACTGGGCATGAGAGCAAATTTGGGGGATTGTGGGCCCATCCCTGTGGGACTGCCATAAAGCTGGTCTGCTGGAGGGGTGGGGTAATGATGGACTGAGCTAGGCATGACCATGGAACTCACCAACATCATGGAACTGGGGTTGGGAACAGGTCAGGCTGGTCCAGGAACACCACAGGCACACCCAAAAATTGGTAAGAGTCTAGCACTCACTGGCACGTGTGAGATCTGGGTCTGGGAGTGGGCCTGTGCAGGGACTTTGGGAACTACCCTAGTGGGTCATCACTCCTGCAGTTGAGCATGAGTCTGAGCTGGGTGTTGGTCAGGCCAGGCAGGGCTGCTCCGTTTGTTGGCAGATATGTGGGTTGGCTCTGTAGGAGGTGGACCAGGCAGGGCCAGGCCAAACCATAGCCCACTGGCATGTGCAGGAACCAGGACAGGGTGGGGTCATGCTGAGCTAGGCTAGGCTATCACACCTAACAGTTCACATGAAAGGGACTGGGGCAGGCTGCAGCACTCACCAGTGAATAATAATAATTTTTTAAATAAAATAATAGAAGTTTAAAACATTTCAGAACATAATTTCAGAGTTTTTGGCTAATCAAAATGGCTACTAGGTAGACAAGAGGCAATAACAATAATAACATGTATTGGAGAAACTAATTCTATATTTGTTTACTATAAATCTAGAGAGGAAGGACAGAGAGTAAAATAAATGGATAAATATGAATTCATATGACATTTAATGGCTTTAACATATCCTGGTAGGTGATGAAGTGTTATCAAAGGAATGCAATGTGAGTGTGTGAGTGAAGAAGTGATTAAACAATTATCTAAGTTTGGTGTAGGATGTGGATTGGATCAGGTCTACCAAAGTGGTTGAGGGTGAATCAGTACCTTGTTCTTATAGTATATTAAAACTGTACATAAAAACTGTTACTTGAAATTCGAAAAAATACTCCAAAATTCTAATTTTTCAAGAACTTAAAGCACTATTTTCTTCTTTTCCATACATATGCACTTTTATTTTAAATTTATGGACCCTGACAGAGTAGAAATCAAGAAACAATAATTCTACAAACCAAGCCTGCCAATTAAACTGCTTCAGTAACTAATCTGCTAAAACTTAATCATGTAACAAAATCTTCTTAAGATATTTATAAAGTTTATTTTTTTTTTCAAAAAAGTAATTGATTCATCATTACTACCAGTTTTATCATGCAGCAAGGCAGCAGCTGACATTTATTTAATCTTTTTTAACATGGCTGTATACATTATCTTCCTTCGTATAAAGTTTCCATAATAAGCTTGCAATAACAAAGGTAAATAAGTTTTCTGTTACAGGTACTTCAAATAGCACTACAGTACATCTTTGACAAAATTTTTACAATATTTCAGCTTTCAATATGAAACAGGTCAAAAAGGCATGGGCCAAAAGTGACTTAGAGAAATCAGTGTCATATTCATATAAGCACAACACTTTCAGAACTCTTCCGGTTAGGCTGCAAAAGGAATACTGAAGACATTTCTTTCCAGATGAAATTACAGAAGCCATTTAGCGAAATGTCAAAAATGTATACTTTCAGACACATTAGGAGAAAAACACTTAAACTCTCAACCTTGGAAAACATGAAGGTATATTTTGTTTTTGATTAGACGCTGTCTTGGAAAGTTTTGTTTAAATCAAATTCTGCAAATCCTTTTCTTGTTTGCACTGGGAAAAAAAAATGTCAAGGAAACCTAAGAAGTAATTGTTCTTTAAAGCATCTGTTGTAGTTGGTTACCTTTAAAAAAATAGGCACATCTGTACATCATTGGTTATTTTACTCATATTGTTTTCTCTTTCTAAACTAAAATTGAGTTACTTGAAATTCACGTTTGGTAAAAGCAGCAAGCCGACAAAACTCACTTCCATTTCTCCCCTTTCTCCAACCACCATCACAGAAAAACAACTATGAGGATACAGTGCAAAACTTAGAATTATTCATTCATCTACATTCTCACTGGACAGGTTTTCATGATACATAAATGTGCTAGACTAAATGCCCACTTATTCTTTTCATTTCAGAAACACAGTGGTTAAGTTCACTTATTGCTAGGAAATGTCATTAGAGTTCTTATAAACAATGACAAACATGAAGGGCAATTTCTGAGTATAAATAAGTCTTTCATAGTTCAGGATTAAAGTACATTTCATGACAGTTCTGTTTTTAAGGAAGGTGCCTTTAATTCCATAGGCATCTTAATCCTGTACAGAGAATAAATTACTAACTAAAGTCACAACTTAATAAGGATAAAATCAATATTCTTTAACATTACAGTACATCAATATCATAAAACTTAAAACTAGATTTAGTCACTGCTATTTGATCAAGCTTAGTACACAAGCTTAGTAATAGGACCACTCAAAAAAAAAAAGGCACTAAAAGAAAGCTTACAAAAGTAAATGTGAAACTTGGGTGAGAATACAGACTTCTAAATGAGAATCTTTAGTTTAGGGCTACCGTGCATTCAACCATTAACAAACAGCTAGATGAATGGCACTTACTCCTCTGAAGGTAAAACTGCATACATATCACCAAAAAGGTTATGGCACTTCGAATATATTCCTGATAAGTAAACATGGTCAATGATACTAGCCTCTGCTAATTTTACATTGTTTGGGGGAAAACAGCAGCAGCTTCAGGGGAAAAAATCATTACTTGAAGAAAAAGGGTGTGAAATTATCACAGTCCTTTGAATAAACAGCTTTGAAAAAAACCAATGAAAACAACACTCTAAATTTCTCAACCATTTTCATTGTTAACTTAATATGTAAGTTTACAAGAGGAAAAAAAATCACGCTTGCAGTCTGAGTCAAAGGAAAACAGAATTATGCTTTACTGTGAAATATAAAATACATGAAGCAAAACATAGCAGGTCTCCTGCTACCAGTTTTTGCCTGCCCACCCTCTGAGTACATATACCCCAAGCATGACATGTCAGGAAATAATTTCTTTACAAACTGAGACTAAATTATTTGTATAACATGGACTTACAATTTTCAATACAGATAAAAATGGATATTTATATTAAAGTAAATGTGCTCTGGTACCTTAGCATGTTCTGCTACCCAAAAGTAATTTTTTTTTTTCCTGAAACTTTACCTTCTACATTTTACCTTATTTTGCAAGAAGCAGCAGATGTCTGTAAAATCAATTTAACGCAGTCTTTATGGTTTAAAAAAAAAAAAAAGATGCATTCTGAATGATCCAAGATCATCAGAGACCACAAATGAGTTACTGGTTGTAGATTAAACAACTGAATCTTAAACCATCACTTTCTATTATGATTGCTCTTTAAAGTGAGTAAGTTGATGTCTCTTCCAGTGAGGAGCCTGTCTGAAGGTTTTGCCACAAACTGAGCATTCAAATGGTTTCTGCCCTGCATGAATCAGATAGTGTCTTTCCAGTTTAGATGGAGATCGGAAACTTTTAGGACAGACACTGCATTGGTAAACGAGGCCATCACTTCTCTCAGGACGCTCTGAGTCACTACGATGAAAAGTCTGCTCTGATTTCAAACGTGTGCTAGAGGCACAGAGCTGCCTGTTCCCACACTGGGTACCTGGCGTGAATTCCTCCGGTTCTGACTTAACTACCACTTCCGATATTTCATTGGACTCTAAAACTTTATGGTTTTGAAAATCAAGAGCTTCATACTGTTGGGAAGTACTATCACTAACACTATCACCAGGATGAATGAAATGTTTGTTCAAATTTCCAAATTCCATTTGGCAAAGGGATCTTCGATGAGGAATCTTTTCAATATGAGTTAGTTTATGTCTTTTTAAGTGAGCTGACTGTCTAAATGATTTCCCACAAACATTACAACCAAAAGGTCTCTGTCCAGTGTGAATTAAATAGTGTCTCTGTAGTTTGGATATAGAAGGAAATACTTTTTCACATTTGTCACAAGGACACATCTTATGTCCAGCATGTACGTTTTCAACTGGAACTGACAAGTCACACTGAAGCACTTTAGGGTTATTAAACAATGTCTCACCTGGTGAACCGGAGATTGCTAAGTCTTTACTAGTCACTGAATTTTCCACAGTTAATATATTTTCTGTTGTACGGGTACTTTTCAAGTTTTTCCCCATATTTTGGCTTTGGAGTTGCTTTTGCCAAGAAAATGGCAACGTTAATGATTTTTTCTTTTTGCTGCCAACTGTCTTGTATGTTCCAAGGGAACCCGGACGTGTTTTCTGGGTTTCCTCTGAGTTCTGTTCACAAGAAATAAAGTCACTATTTTTCAGCAAACTGCTTTTCAATACTTTCTTCTCTGATTGGAAGTTATCTAGATTTTTACCCCCAGGGCATTTAAATTTGGCCAAGATTTTTTTAACGATGGTTTTATAGTTGTAGCTTCTTCTGAGCCTGCTTGGAATGTTACCACCTCTTCCGGGGACACACTCATGTCCCCTAAGAATCTGCTCCGATTCAAAACACTCCTCACACTCTGGACATTGGAAAGGGACGACGTAAGCAGAGTGGACACCAAGCAGGCTATTCTCTTCAGAGCCACCCATCTCACCATTTTCAAAACCATCCGGTTTCGCATCTAGTTTACGAGGCACGGGGCGTGATTCTGGATTCTTCACCTTTAATGAAAGAGTCTGACAGTTCTTATTTCTCATATGGATTTGTTTATGCTTCAGGAGTTTGCTTTGAATCTTAAATCCTTTTTGACAAAAACAACACTGAAAAGGTCTTTCTTCTGAATGTGTGAGCTGGTGGATTTTTAAATGAGTTGACTGCCGGAAAGACTTACCACACAAGATACATTTAAAAGGCCTCTGACCAGTGTGAATCAGCGCATGCCTATCAAGTTTGGATTGTGATGGAAACATCTTGCCACAGATTGTACATGCATGGATGTTCTTTCTTTTCTTCGTAGTGCTGTATGTGGGATCAGACTTCGAGCATGGATGTAATGACCATCTCTCTGTGCTAAAAGTATTATACATTCCACACACTGGCTTTTCTTGCTTGGCCTCCAGCAATCTTCTAACCTGCTTAACATCATTTTGATAGGTTTCATTGTGAAGTTGTTGGTGCTTCACAAAGGTCTTCAGGTTTTTAAAGTGGCGCTGACAAATACTACATTTAAAAGGCAGATTATGAGTTAACTGATGCCTTTCCAGATGAACCAGTTGTCTAAACGTTTTATGACACACATCACATTCAAATGGCTTTTGGCCAGTATGAATCAGATAATGTCTTGCTAATTTTGATGGTGTTTCAAAGTGTTTGAGGCAAATATTGCAAATATAAGGCCTGTTTCTAGGCAGCTTATTGCTTACTACACACTGTTGAGTCTTCAGCGTTTTTAAATTGCCTTCAGCCATCATATTCTTCAGTGATACATTCTGGTGACTGCCATACTGTTCTTAAACACACATACCTAACAAATTAAAAATTAAAAATATTAACTTTAAATTCTTTATTTACATGAAAAGAAACACTTAAGTTGTCCTTTGGATGAGGTTTAAAGGTAAAAGAGAAATGACATCTGTGTTTAAAAGTAAATTAACCATTTTAGATTAATACTCTGGAATCATAAAACTAATTTCACATATATAGAAACAAGTCTTTAAAATCTATTTATTTTCTAATTGCTCTTTTTAATTTTCTTATGTTAAATTAAAAGGATACCAAGTTAAATTTCTTAATACTAAGCATTAGTATTGAGGCTCTTTTATTACTAGGCAAATACGTTAACATTTAGGTGAGATTTATTTTTTTTGTCCTTAAAAAATACTTGGGCTAGAAAGGTAAAGCATTTAAGAATTAAAAGATAAAAGTACTAAAAATGAGATGTATTTGCATTTAATTACAGCGCTTCACACAAATACTCTATGAAGGAATGTCCCGCTTACCAGAAGTGTAGTTCTTAGATGTCACGTTATTTACTCTCAATTACTTTTCACATCAACAAGGACAACTTGGAGAAACTTCCCAGAAGACCTGGGTTCTAGTGCTGGATTTGTTATTTTATGGTCTTGCTGGAGGGAAGAAAGAAATACAGAAGTAGAACGGTGACGAGTAAGACACAGGTAGTTTATCAGACACTCATAAGTATTTATGCTCTCTATGTTCTCATTCTTGTAACACTGCATTGCCCTCATAGATGGAAGTCTGTTGTTGTTAAACTCTCACTCTAATCTATCTGCTTTGAGGCCAGAACTGCTAAGTCCATCAGAAATTCAGAGTTCTTTGGTCAGCAACTATCCAACACAAATGGTGTTTATTATCTTTACCTAACACTGAAATATAAAATCACAAATGTAAACACCATCATTCCCTTCAGCAATCCAAACCAGAAACAAGACATATTAATTCTATTATTTGCTTGGTCACAATGCTTTTCATTCTGTCTGTGAAGTCATTTTAGTAAAATAGGAACTATATTTTTGCTTAATAACACAGAGTATAAAATATATACAGTAAGGATAAATTTTGCTTTATCCACTATTGATAGAGGTTTAAAAAAAGTTTGTGAAAGATGCCCCTAATCCTCACACAACAGGAAACCTGCAGCAAAATCAGTCTCTTGATTCAATACAGCCAAGGAACCCATCAGGAGACTGAAGATCAAAATTCACAGAATGACAACTAAAGGAACCAGCTGGTCTGTTTCGTTTTGTTTTTTTCACTTGGCCCACATTACCTCAAAGTATTTACTTCTCCCGCTAGAACTGATCTAACTAAAAGTGAAATGGAAAAAGCCACATATATCTATGCAAAATAAGATGCAAGTAACTATATTAATTTTTAAAATATACCATATAGCCCAGATATTTATCTTGGCCACCATCAGCTGTTTTCACTGCAATGAGTCAGAAGAGATACAGGTGAAAAACTTCCAAAATCTCTAACATGCTGACACAGAGCAAACTGAGCATTAAAAATTAAGTCATGGGCCTAGTGAATTGCCAAGGAACTTCCCAGCTGATTTAATTCCTATTGAGCAGTTAGAGGTCAAGGTTGTCTGTCAATCAGGACAATGAGTCAAATGGAAACTAATAACCTTTACTCATAGTGTGAGCAAGAGGTGAAAAGAGGGACTGGCTCCCCGTTGGTCCATCAAACACGACATCTCTGGGTGAGGGTCTGAGGGACGCACTGCACAAGGAACTCCCTTGCTAACAAAAAGCTCCTTTCTCTCAGGAATCCTTGGGCCAGGGGAGGGAGAGGGAAGGACCAGGGGTAGAAAAGAGTGTCTCAGCAAAGCAAGGCTCCTGAGAAGTACCTCAGCCAGGGTCTCTGAGAGAAGTACCTTCCCCAGTTGGAGGAAAGCAGGCATAGGAAGAGCCATGAAGACTGCAATGGTCGAGAAGCCAGTGTGACATGGGAGGGCAACTCTGGCCGGGAGGGCAAAGCCCAGCCATTATCCAAGCTTAGGTCTGAATCATGGATCACACATGGGATCTTGTTCACTTCTCAATTCCTTGTGTAGCTTCTCCTTTGTAATACATGTTTCTACAAACACCAACTGGAAAAGGAAGTCCTACAGTAGAACCACATAAAACAACCATCTCTGATTGTCTCAGAGATTGGCTGTTACACACAGCCACACGTAAGGTCTATGGTTCATGCATCACTAGCACTAAGACCTGGGACTCTCTTACTTGCCTTCCGACCTTGTCCAAAAGCACTTGCTGGCAGCCCTGTATTGCCAGAATCTCTGCTGGCATTCAGTGATCTCCTTTACACGCAGGGGCGCTCTATGAACCATACCATGAGTTCATACCATCTATGAACTTACACCAGGGTACACACAGAACTCCAAATCCCAAGTCAGTGAATTTCGTTTTCTTTCTTCTGATGTTCGTTGTAGCTGTTGTTGGTGATCTTGAAGACCCAATCCGGGATTGTGATCTTTCTGATGTTACCTTAAATAAAAAATACACAATACATCTGCTCAACAGTTCAACCCAGAAAGTATCCTAGCCACGAGTAAGCTGCACATCACTCCTTGACTAAAAACAGATTCAATAACAATTCAATGTTGCCGTCCCCACCGGCAGAAAGCTTGCTGACTTTTTCACAGGATTCTCTTTTCTTCTACATCTTAGTTAACACCATTAAAAAAGAAAGGCCCGAGAGAGGTTACAGCTGGGGAATCATCTCTGGTGACGTTGCCCTTTAACCAGCTTGCTGTGCACTGGCCCCTTACCCCAGTCTCCTTTCGTGGGACCACACTGGACAAAGGACCTGGACAGCGAGTCCTCCGCGTGCTGGTCCACAACCAGTGGGCACCCGGAGGGTCGGGCTGAGTCCAGAGTCCGCAAAACCCCACAGCAGGCAACGAAGGGCAAGAGTGCCCACTCCGAGGGGTAAATCACGTGCCAAGTGTGGTAGGACCCACTCTGGAGCAAAGGCATCCCAACTGAGCAAGCATCCCACCGAGCCTTCCTCTCGGGCATCCCCGCCGTCCCCGAGCCACACTCAGGCGAACAAGTGCGACAGCGGGAGGAGCTGAGGACCCGAGGTCGCGGCCCCCTCGCTCCAGCGCACCTCGCAGGACGGACGCCGCCCGACCCTCCCCGGGGCTCGCTCCACCTCGCTCCCGGGCTGCTGGGGTCCGCCGCACGCACCTGAAGCTGGGAAGGGCCAGCGACGAGCGCATCCCGGGGCCCAAAGCCGCCGACGCCGCCAGCGCACGGCCGCAGGAACCCCCGGCGGAGGCCGGCTAAGTGCGCAGGCGCGGCGCTTGGGCGCGCCGCAGGACGCGGTCCGGCTGGAAACAGGTTCCCGCCTCTCTGCGCCCTCGCGGCCTCCCGCCAGTCCCATAGGGCAAGTCCAGCTCGCGGCCTCAGGGCGGTCCTCACGTCCCTCAATCCTCCGGGGGAGAAAACAAGGGCATGGAGAGGGGCGCTCGCGGCCTCAGGGCCCTCAACCCTCCGGGGGAGAAAACAAGGGCCTCAGTGCGGGCAACCTGTAGCCCGGACCAGTGGGCCCAAGGCGAGTCGGCGTTTCAGTCAGCTCCGTAAACTCCTTTCTACTGTGGAGAGCGGGTAATAATAATAGTAATGCCCCCCATGAATAATAATAATGATACCCGCCATGTTTGGAGGGCTTCCCCGGACAGAAAACTCTTCAGCATTGTGCACCTTGTTAAATACAGCTAGGGTCATTGACAAGAGAATGGATTTGTGCTTAGACATACAACTGGATTCCACTCTTGGTTCCCCCACGGCCTTGTTAGCCTGGCTCGGCCTCATTAATTTGATGTATTTTGGTTGTCTGCAATGGTTCAAGCGCTGTGGTCAACGACTTCTGTGTTCAGACCGTGGTGGCAATTAGACGAAATGCGTGCAATGTACTAAACAAAGCTTCTGCTGTATATAGCAGGCTCTCAAAGAGGTACTGGCATTGCTTAGCTACTTAACTGCTATTTTTACATTAAATACAACTCTTATAAGCGACAGGATCCTATTTTAAGAGGAGGAAAATGAAGCCCAGATATTAAGGGCTTTCATGCCACTAAACTGATAAAGCCCAGAAGTAGAAACTAAATACAGTTAGTCTCATAGCCAATTTGCTCTTCTAATTCACTATCACTTTCCAAACTATACATACTTTTGTGTCTCATGCAGACACAGGGCCGGTAGAGTTCACACTTGCTGTCTAAGATACTAAGATGGCTACTAAAGATGTCAAGCAGAAAAAGGCGTTAGAGAAGAGCTGTAGCTTTTCAAAAGTTCTATCTTTCATTGTCTATTGCAGTAAGGAGAAGAGGGGAAGTATCATGGGTGCATTCTGACTTTAAGCAACTTTTGCCTTACTTTCCAAAGGTCACTGAAAACAATAGTTGCTAGTTTTTAATGTTAGCATGTTTTTATCTACTAAGAAAACAAATATTGGGCCAATTACAAAAGGAAGTCTATTTTGGATGTGGTAACATGCAGAAATGCCCAAAATGAAATAAGCTTTGCTTCTAATGTAGGAACCCTGGAGGAGTCCGCTTTGAGAGAGAGTCAAGTCCAGGTTTCAAACAGAAGGAGTGATGAAGAAGAGAAGGGGAAAGCTGTTGGTGCCCTGAGTGCCAATCCCAAGGTGAGGATTGTTCAGGAAGTCCTTGGAGACCTGCTGCATTCTGCAGCTTCTCTTGGGGAACTCAACTCAGTCGGATAACACAGACAAATGTCACCTTCACAGAAATGCTTGAGAGAGGTAGCTAGACCCTGAGAGACATTACCTGAAATTATGGCTCAATGGAGGATGGGATTAGTTCTTTTATCTATTACCTACAAAGCAAATAGGCCACTGTGCCAAGAACCTTATTTCAGAGGATGAAATGTGGTGAGGACTTGGAATAAGCTATTCTCTAAGGCCACATGCCCCACTTCTTAAACTCTCCCATTTACTCTGAGAACTGACTTGAGAATCTTTCCTAGAAATGGGAAAAATAATCTGGATAAGGGTCATCAGGGCAAAGTTTTCTTGAATATGTGAAATTTGAGCTTATACTTAATAGTGAGTCGATTATGGATACATAGGAAATGTGGAGACGGGACAGAGGCAGAGATGATAAGTTTGAAAAAAAGGTAGTGTGACAAGTAAAAATAAAGGTGGTGCCATGGCATACATTTTCATTATTTTATATGTATAAACATATTGTATAAATAGATATTATTTTATGTATAAATGTATAATATATAATATACAAATATATATTAATATACAATATAAAATCTATATTATTTTATATATTATATATGTTTATATTATTTATATATATGTGTGTGTGTTTGTGTTGTTTTTTAAGGGCTCAGAGAAGTTTATTGCACAAGCAGAGGTACTCAGTCTTTCTTGGTGGCTGCCTTCCTCATGGTGGCCAGGACATTGCTCTGCTCCTCCCTCTTCCTCTTGACCTGAATGTGTGTACTCACCTTTATTCTTGAGGAACTTGAAGGACCTCTTGTCCTTGGAGACTTTGAACAGCATCATGGTGTGGCACTCATAGGAGGCAAAGCTGCACACCTCCTGGGTCATGTCCCACATTAACAGGGTGTGCTAGGTCAGCCACCTACAGCAGTGGCTATGCCTTGCCTTGCTCATGTTCTTGATCACCTGGTGGCCCTTGTTGGGTCCCATGGCCATGGTAGCACCGAGCCATGGCTGTGACTTTCCAATGGCTGCTGATATGGAAGCTTCCTTAATATTCTACCTCGGAAAGTAACAAGTTATGTCCTTAGAAGTTACTTACACTTGCTGAACCTGAAGTTCCCTTATCTGTGAAATGAATACAAAATCAGTCCTTCAATTGTTCCTTGACTAGGACCATAACAAAGGATGTATTTCTAAGTATATAAAGATGAAGCAGGGAGACCTTTCATCTTAAAAGTTATCAGCTGTTAGAGAACAATGTACAGACATGCACAATATGATTAGAAACACATGTTTGGAGAAATAAGGGACAAGGAACATTTAAATCTGTCTAGGAGGTGGCTGTTCCTGAGCAGATACTTCAGCCACTGTTTCATTCATCCATATATCCATACATCCATTCATCTGTCACAGATCTTAAGCCTTTGCTAGGCAGTGATTACACAAAAATCTTTGCCTTTTTAGATTTTGTATTCTCCTGAAGAAAACAGACAATAATTAAAATATATCAAATAATAAATATTGATAAAAACCTAGGGGAAGGATTGGCGGGATAACTCAGTAGCTAACTACTCACCTTGCATGCTTGGGATCCCATATGGGTGACTTACAGGTGCTGATTCTGGTCTAGGTTGCTCCACTTCCCATCTATCTCCCTGCTTGTGGCCTGGGAAAGCAGTGTAAGACAGCCCAAAGGAACCCTGCACTGATGTGGGAGACCTGGAGAAGGTTCCTGGCTTCAGATAAGCTCAGCTTCTGCTCTTGCAGCCATTTGGGAAGTGAACCATCAGATGGAAGATCTTTCTCTCTGTCTCTCCTTTTCTCTGTAAATTTATCTTTCCAATAACATAAATAAATCTCAAATAGGAGAAAAAAAAGGTAAAACATAGAGAATGGCTATTATTGTTTGGAGGGAGAGGTTGTTGGCTGTTCAATAGATTGTCATAGATGATCTTAATTTTGGTCTGTGATTTTTTTTTTTTTAGTTTAAACCTGATGGGAATAAGACAGCCAGTCTCTTCATGGAAGGTGACAGGAGGCAGAACAAAAATGAGTATGGACTTGTTTAGTGAACAAGAGGATGTGCTGTTAGGGGAGGATAGGGAAGGAAGAGGAGTAGAGAATATTCTGTACACAAAGACACACTGTAAACAGAGTGTGACAAATGAAAAACTGGGAGTAGCGAAGTCCTACTGAAGTATGAAGTGGGGAGAAGTAGTGGATGACAGGAGAGTCATTCATTCGGCAAAGGATTGGATGCACACTGCTCATCAGGCTCTCTGCAAAGAGGTAGGAAAAGTTTTACATGCCTAGGTTCCCTTTTAGTTTTCCTCTTTTTCTACATTTTATTCAAGCTAATTGTACTTGAACTGCGTCTGCGGTTTTAGCAACTTTTGTATAATTTCTGGAATATTTCAAAGGAAGAAATTTTGAAATTGAGTTTAATGCTGTTAATATCACTTCCCATCATCAGGTTTGACAGGGGACTCACGTGTCCTGGTTCCATCTCACTTCTTTTGTTTCTTCTTCCCCCTTCCTAATTAGGGTAGCCACAATAGCCATCCACTTGTCTCCTGTAGATAGTTTACCAAGGTCTGGATCCCTTGGGTGTTAGCTTCTGCCACCAAGAAATCATCTAAGATTTTCCCAACAAATAGCTCCCTCCCCACTTTTTAAATGACATCTATGTGAAAAGTAGAGTGACAGAGAAGGAGAAATAAAAGAGAAAGATGGAGGGAGTGAGAAAGAGGAGAGAGAGAGACACACACACAGAGAGATTCTATCTGCTAGTCTACTCCTTAAATGCATGCAACAGTTAGGATTGGGTCAGACCAAACTCAGTAGATAGGAATGCCATTCAGATCTTCCATGTGAGTGGCAGAGACCCAAGTATTTGAGCCATTGCCTGCTGCTTCCTCGAGTACACATTGACAGGAACCTGGATCAGAAACAGAGTAGCTGGGGCCTCAAACCAGCACTCCAAAATGGGATTGCAGATGTCTTAAGTAGCAAAATAACCTTGCATGTCATGGTTCCCATTCCCAGCTCTCCTTTTAAGGAAGATATTTTGGTAAATAAAGCTTTCTTCCTCTCATCATATACTTCCAAAAGAAAACTACTTTCAGCTTCTTCTACATTTTGTTTTCAATTTCTTGAAGGCCTTGTGGCATGAGGTGAGTCTGTGTATGGGAATGGGGGATAAGTAGAGATCTGAAGATAAAATACAGGAGAGCTATATCTTATTTAGTAAAGTGGATTGCCAGCGACTTATACTCTCTGAGAAGATTTGAAATCCTTTAAAGTTCCTTTCATGACAATATCTATTAGTTTCGGAGTCTAGTGAGGTAGTTGCATTGTCCTATTCTATCCCACTTTTATGCGTTGGTTCAAATTCAACAACACTGGGCTTTCAGAGTCACCTGGGAAATAGGTAAGATTCTTCACAAAAGCTTAGTAAAAATATTTAGTTTGTGTGTGTGTGTGTGTGTGGAGAGAGAGAGAGAGAAAGAAAGAAAGGAAGAAAGGAAGAAAGAAAAGAAAAGAAAGAAAAGAAAAG